AGTTCTCGAAATGTGGTGTTATAGGCGAATGATGAAGATACCGTGGATAGAGAAGGTTAGAAATGAAGAGATATTAGAAAGAATAGGAGAACAGAGGACTCTATAGAAGTGTGCCAATTCCTTTCCTCGGTGTATTATTTCTCTCCACGATATTACTGATTTCGGTTGTGCGTGTATTCCTGGGTCTTCCTATCTTTCTATTTCTGATCATTCCAGTTTCCTATACTTTGCTTACTTGTCTCTCTCTAGTAATTCTAGTTATATGTCCGGACCACCTCAACTAGTTTTGTTCTATAATGTTCTGTGCTTGGCAAATTCCTAGTATCCATGTTCCTTATTTTGTCTTGTGATTCCCTGTACTCCACTAAGATATTTTGTTTGCATTTGTGACCACCCTCTTTCGATCCCCCACCTCCACCCGCTTGAAAATAATTATTTTATTGAATTTTATTTGAATTATAGTGTATGAAAATTGTCAAAATAATCAACTTCCAACCCCCATAACTTTTTATGGGGGTGAGACCGCCGCAAATTTTTTATGGGGTTTTACTCAGGTGACCACCCTCTTTCGATCCCCCCTTCCACCACCCTCACCTAACCCCCATAACTTTTTATGGGGGTGAGACCGCCACGAACTCTTTATGGTAGAGTGGTGGGGGAGACCTCCTCTTTCGATCCCACCCTCTTCGGGGGTGGGGGTCATCATCTAGACATTTACCGATGCTTTTCATAAGCGGCATCGTTTACTAATTTCTAAAATATGTGTAAGCAACATGTGGCTTGCAGACAATGAGATGGAAATCAACGTTCCAGGATTAGGTGTCGCTTTTCCTTTTTGCAGCAAACTTTAAACAGACGCCAGTCCCATCACAAATTTAACTCGATCAATCGAGAACAGTTGTTTATTTTTGGTATTAAAAACGGCCTTCTGTCATTCAATTCGTGCCTGTGCACATTATATGGCGATACAACGGTAAAATCGAGCGAGCCGTTTACTATCTCGCACAAAGATGCATACATTATCAACTAATTTCACTCGGACGCATTAGCATGACTTTTAGATCTTAAAAAACCGAGTTAAGTGCATACATTGGCTCGCTGCACGTATCTGTTAGGTTTTACAGCCGCCGACATGGTTTTTATTGCACTCTAATTTGTTACAAATAAAATACCCTCGCTTCAATCCAATGTTATAGTGTTAAACATGATTACAATTACCATTATCATTATAGTTTTTGGTTTTGTGTCGGATCTTTGACATGGGAAATTGGAATATTTATTCATGCATTACATTTATTGCGTCGCCTTGTTTGAACTCATACAGAAACACCGTAGGAATGCGCGGCGATATGGCAACGGTTATTACAATAAATATAATTTGGTATACCTCGTTAATTTCTTGCTGGTTAGCTTACCTTTAATATTAAAATTTATAAATAGGTACTAGTACCTGTTTTGCCTATAAAATATGTGGCAGTAAAGCAGTTTCGAGCAAAAGTTTGCCGCATACATGAATTAATTTTGTCAATTAATTTTACACTAAAAAGTTTGAGAAAGTACAAGTACAATCCATATAATTTACTGTAGAAACTGTAACTGTAAAAGTATGTCGAGTGTAAATCGGTCTATACGTAAAACATGAATTAATTTCACATCAGATAAATTAATTGTCTACTAAAAAGTTTAAAAAATATCAACACCAAGTTTTAAATCGATTTAATTTACTCTATAAATTGGAGGTAAGTATTTTAGCGAGCACGAGCGTGTTTGTGTGCAATCGGGCACACGTGTGCGTGGACGGCTTATCGATTCGCCGACTAGCCGCGGGCGCCTGCGTTCTGGGAAAGCAGTTAAACAGTTCAAAGAAAAACTAAACGATCCGGATGTTTCTAGAGGGTTCCAGAAAGGAAACAAAAGAGTATTTAAAAGAAGAGACGATCGCCGAAAGAAAAGAAGAAATAAATTAACCGTTGCAGAAGTTTGAATGAGAAATAAATTGACCGTTGCAGAAGTGAAAAGAAGAAATAAATTGACCATTGCAGAAGTAAGAAGGAGAAATAAATTGACCGTTGCAGAAGTAAGAAGGAGAAATAAATTGACCGTTGCAGAAATGAATCGAGAAATAAATTGACAGTGAAATAAATAGCGCAGTGAATAATGATATATCAATAGTAGTGNAACTGAAGAGAGCTAAACTCCTTGGAAACGGATAATCTAAAATATTGGATCGATATTGTTTTCCGGGTTCAATGTCATGGTTCATGGAATTTTGAAGTTCCAAATTGATATCAGCACCTATCAAACCACCACTTATTGTACCTTTAGCAAGGAACTACGAAATTCTATGAATTACGACAAAACAGTCCGCAAAACAATATCGGATTGATATATGCCAGCTGTGTAAAATTGAAAACTTCAAGACATTGTGGTGTGCTAATAAATGCACTATACTCTAAAATTCTTAGAAAACGATTAAAAAACTTCACTTATTAGTTGAACCCAAAGTTAAAGAAACCATGGATTCCATTTCTTTCTCGTATTACAATGTGTAAAAGATCAGAAACAAAATGGGGTTCTAAATATTTCGATATAAAATAATTGATGGCGATTTTAGATGAATAAAATTATTTGCAATTCTATTTTGGCATCAGTGACTTTTTCCATTTAAAACGATGACAAAGGTAAATAAGGAAACATATAGAAGAATTGTTTGTTGCTGAACTGAAGAAACTATAACATAAAGATAGAAAAACTATGTATCCTACTCAATCTTCGCAGCTGCAAACACCACTATTAGCATTTAAAATACAATTTGCATTTTACATCTGAAATAACAAATCAAAAAAGTATTTGCATTTTGTATTTAAATACTTTTAAAAAACCATTTTGTACACCTCTAGTGTCCACCACAATTAAATTTTGTTCAACTACTACATACATATTTTTTAGCCTTGATAAAGCCTCCCAACAAAAGGCGAAACTTTGGTGTCGGTTCGTTAATTCAATAAAAGCATTACTACCCTCTTTTTTTCACATTAAAAGTATCAAGAACTGGCAACTTCTTCTAAATAGCAAATATAATATAATTGAGTAGTAATTATTCTAATAAAATATGTAATTACAATAATTACAATATGAATAATTATTCCAAGATCCTGCGGATTAGGACGATGGTTGTAGATCATTTTTAGGAGGAATCGACGAACTTCTCATAAAATTAGATATTTTACGAATTTGCCATCATTACATCATCCATTTCTACAGATTTATTTTTTTTGCGAAATACAGCACTGTTGAGATTTTTTCGAAACCTAAGCGTAAATGTAGTATTGACCACAATAACAAAAAACAGTGTTTATAAAAAATGAGAATAATTATATTATTACATAAATAAATAAAAAAAAAAATAGAAAAAATGTGACTAACCATATCTCTACCTTTATTATTATCACATTCCGAATATGTTTACTCTTTAGCAATAGTTTCCTTGGAATGTTTAAAATTTCTGATAAAACGGATTAATTAATAGAACAATAAGCGGCGAAGTAATAAAGAATGCTTTACTTACATTATTTATAATTTCAAACAATTCCTCATTAATTTAAAGCGGATAAGACGTTTGCGAGTAAGGTACATCACGCATAAACCTACGTTTCTATATAATTCAATAAAAATTAATGAGAATATAATTTTCCATTACCTCTACAACTTCAGAGTAATTTGTTGATTACAAAACGAGATATTTATAAATAGAGTTCGTGTAAAATTGATTAGTAAATTTTTTGGGTTCTTTATTAGGTACGTAATCATTCATCATCTTTTAATAAAGTATTTTTAAACTAATTTTTGGAAAAGTCATTGGATGTTTTCAAATTAAACAAGTATTACGAAAACGTTTACTTTACAGGGTGGTTCTGAAATAAGTAGCAAGTTATGGAGAGTGTTAAGAAGATGCAATAGAGGAGAGCAAAGCAGCTTGGTTAAAGGACAAAGAAAACCAGACGAAGTTGTAATCCGAAGCCGGCCCTGGGCGTGAATTGACAACGCGTAAGGAAATTACGATTACGCAACTACATCGATGAAAGATGTAAGCATTAACCGTTGTCAAACGACTAATAATGGGAATATCAACAGCCTCCTATTACGCTACTACACATAGTAATCTTTAGACACCCATTGCCGTAACAATTAATTAAATAACTACTTTGTTCATCTCTAATAGTATATTAAGAAGACAAAATACAAAAGAAATACTAGTACAACACGGATGCTGCAGCTGATAGAATGTGACGTTGCGTAGCCCGTGATTCCACCAGGACCGGACTTACCTTTCAAATACGTTTTTCTCGAAAACGGCGGACTTTCAGGCTACTAAACATTTACTTAATTTTCTTGTTTTTCTGTAAGCTTGCTATTTATTTCAGAAACACCCTGTATACTTAATTTATAACAATGTCATACAGTTATTCGTATTATACTGTAGGTATAAACCTCCTTATCTGATCTACTAATCAAGACAGGTGTGAAAAAAGAACAATTCGCCATCTTGAAGTCATATTTAACTCGAATGTATTGTAAGTATTTCAAACGGTTTAACGGTGAGTCGTATTAGAGACTTCAGCTTATCAAAAATTATTGAATTGAAATGTGGAAAATAAGATCGTTATTGTGAAAAATAAAACACACAATGCAATCATTAAATTTTTCAGAAAGGATATTTTAAATTTATGCTAAACGATAGACTAAACAAGAGCTGTTAAAAGCTATTTAATGGTTTCTAATGACGAAAGGCATCCGCAAGAATTTTCAAGAATTCTTCATCGACGACCGGCAATCTTTTACTTTATTATTACTTTTTTGTTTTTACTAGCAATCTTGCAACGGTAAGCAGGTTTCGGTCGACTCCTTCACATACCTACCTACCTACATTTAAGTAAAAGACGAAAACGAAAAATAAAACGCGGGAACAAAAATGTTAAGGTTACCAATGATTTAGTTACCTGAAAGTGTGGAATCGGCCGCAGCTTGTCTCGCGGCTCTTTGAGCGAACGGACTTCGCAAAGCCTTCGGACTCAAGAAGAAATTTCTTCTTGAATGAGGAGGCGTCGGACAACTCTGCGTCATAACCGATGACGATTCTGCAGTGGCGCGTGTTCTGGGGTTTGACGGTCGCGTTTTTGGTAATTTTTCGGGATGAGCGGGATCACAGCCTGAATTACGGTCCGATCGATTCTGAAACAACGAAAGAAATATTTAATTCTGCTTGTACATACATAGAATCCATAAATTCTTCTTTAGGCCATCGGTACAAAGTTAACACATTTGAATTATTTATTTAAAAGTGCAAGCTAACACCTACTGTTATATCTACTGGGTTGGTAGGTCAATTAGTGACCGTTTAAATATAGAAATCGATAATAATCAAAAAGAGTCGAATCCAAGATCAAGAAGAAGCAAATAATGCAAGGTGGTGAGGCGTCTTCACTCGTTCTATAATGGTTTTCTGTTATTTTGTACTTTCCCCAATTATATAAGAAAGTAGGGTAACATTATTATTATTATGCTATTAAATTATTTATTAATTATTGTTTGAGTAAAAAAATTGTCTTTATATGTAGGTATTTTTGTTGACTAAGTTATTCCAAATATATAAAATTATATGCACATGGAAGTTAATAGGAAATAAGATGGATTACTACTAATACTACTACTACTAATAATCTTTCTCACATGAAGGGTTAGTTAGATGCATATTAGAAGTAAAAACAGGAGTTAAAAGAGTCAGATGGGAACCTAGATTAGATCACTGTCTGTCTAAGAGCCGTTATAATTTTAAAATTTAATATTTAAAGAGAAAGACAAACAAGTGTGACCTAATAACACACTGCTACAAAATAAAATGAATGAAGTATTTATTTAATTAACAGTATGAATTTTATTATTTATCTAGAGCTACTTCGTATATTTAATCTTTTACTAATTCATATATGCCGCGGTTTCAAGATTTTAACTAACAAAACTATCAGTAGGTTTACTTTTGAGAACGTGGCTTTCTAGATAATTTACCTTGAAACATAAATAAAAATTATGTTTATACAAATTTTCGATATCTATCTTTGATAAACCTGTGTAAATATAATTCTTATTTCAAGTTTATATAAACATCATCATCATGATATGAATCGAACGTGTTGCTATCATGGAACGAGCTAGGGGGAAGTGGTTTTAGCCGTTGGGGTGCCTACCCTTCTAGAGTGAATCCAATACTACCCAGTCGCAAAGACAACTGGGTACCTTTCGAAGAACTCCGTTCCTCCATGAAAACAACAAAACGTAAGGTATTTTTATACCAGTGCTTAGCATTGGGTTGATACCGGTCCTATTCTGGGTCCGCCTACCTTTTTTCTATGGTCTCCCGGGATCATTTCCCTGAAATGATGGAGCTAATATTGCAAAGAAAATATTTCACTTTTATTCTGTCTTTATTTCGACTGTTTCATCTTTCTCTTTTCACAACCACCAACCATCCAGTCCTAAGATTCCTAAAAGGAGGCTGAAGATATAGCCTTTCGCCAAACCCTCCGGTGTGGCCAGCTGGGACTACCCACCCTTCAGTATTAGGAGCAGATGGGAATTAAACGCCCAAAAAAAGGTATTTCGTAATTTTTGATAATGGGCCGGTGCTACTTTAGTATATGCGGACTACCTCTGACGTATGGTCTATCGAACTGACTCCTTAAGATGACCGAAGTAACTGTTGTTGTGATCATGTTCTTTCCCTTTCGTTTGCAAAAATTCGTACCTCAAAAAAAGGCAAGAACAGCAAACCGCATACTACAAAGTAGGACCCATGACTGTTTAAGCTAGTTAGTCATATTTACGAGACGGGGAAAGTCCCGGATATAATAACCATACCAAATAGAGAGGCGGGGATAAGTCGAGACATTCAGAATAATTACCTTAACTTCCTATCAAAAATCTTAACTAGAATTGTACAGAAAAGGATGAAAAAAAGGGCGGGAGAACTGCTAAGGATAGATCAATTTTGGTTTAGAAGAAATAGAGGAACGCGGGAGGGCATTCTAGCTTTACGGGTAACAACAGAGAAAACGATAGAAAAAGGAAAGAGTGCGTACATAGGATTTGTAGATTTAGAAAAAGCTTTTGACAATGTTAAATGGGAGACAATACTACATATACTTAAAAATTGTAGGAATGAGTTACAGAGATAAAAGAGTGATATTTAGTTTGCATAAAGAGCAACAGGCAGTTATAGAGTTGGACCAGCAACTTAGAGAAGTAAATATTAGGAAGGGAGTTAGATAAAGATGCACACTGACATTCCTACTTCTTAATCTACACATCGAAGACGCAATCAACATCATTACAGTACAACTATAGAGGGGCAAAAAATTAGTATGCTTAGATTTGCAGATGGCATAGCAGTATTAGCATCTAGCACAGAAGAGTTAGAGATATCTTGAAATAAAATGGATACGGTACCTATTGACAAAACATTATTGTATGAAAATATATAAAAGTAAAACAAAAATACTGGTATGCAAGGGAAGAAAAGTAGGGAAAGAGCGAATATAAAGATAGGAGACGAAAGATTAGAAGAAGTGACTTATTTCAGGTATCTAGGAAGTCAGATAAGTCAGGGCGGAAGGGGCAGTAGGGATATGAAGCAGAGGATAGTCGCCTTCAATAAAAAGAAGTCATTTCTATGTTTGCAAACGGCTAATTTAGAAATTCTAAAAATATTGTTAAAGGTGTATGTTTGGCTTAAAATACAAATAGTTAAAAGTATGTAGGATGTTCTAGTTCAGATTAGCTCAGGATAGGAAGGAGTGGAGGTGTGTGTCCAACTAGTCTTAGGATTGACGACCTTATGATAATGATGCTTTGGTAAAAGTCTACATGATGGCCCCCACCCCCTTCGGGGGTGGGGATGGGGGGGATCGAAGAAGGGGGTCTCCCCCATCACTGTACCATAAAAAGTTCGTGGCAGTCTCACCCCCATAATAAGTTATAGGGGTTCAAAATTCATAAATATGACAATTTTTATACATTTCCTGGCATGTAAATATTTATATAGTCATTCTTAAACAATATTCAAAGGTAAAACTAATGAAAAATACATAAAAATATTGAGAAAGTTATATAAAACATTATTTAAATATCTTTATCAATAGGGTAGGTTAGGTTAGGTTANCACCGCTATGTCTAGGAAGGCGGCAAAGGTTGCGGGTGCGACCGTTTCGATGTAGGCGGCAAGTCCTTTAGGAACTAAGTCCATACAGTGGGTCACGAGCTCGCTGTCAGTCAGGACGAAGTTCAAACGGGCTGCCAGCTATTCCTTCCGCTTCAGGAAACAATAGACGGGTTCCTTTGATTGTCGCTCTGTGAAAAACTTGGCCATTGCGGTGTTTCGACGCGACGGGCTGTCGAACTCGCCGGTGATCAGCGCTCGGAACTCGGTAAATGGTAGCTGCAAACCCTGGTATGGACGGTATCAATCCCGGGCTTCCCCGTCTAGTTGGCCGACGGCGATGGTGATGGAGATCTTGTGGGCTGTGCTGGTGAAAATGTTCCTCGAGGCGCGTTAAAAACACTTCTGGATCCGCTTCTGGTGTTCCGCCCAACCGTGGTAGTGGACTAGGACGTGGGGTTCATGGCCGTGTTAAACGATCCAGCAATTCCTGAACGATTTCTTGGGTGGTTGTCTTTGGGCGCTACTGACAATTTTCGAAACCCTCTGTCAGTAGGGTTGGTGTTTGCGTAATGCTTGTGGAGGTTTCCGCCTTGGTCGCTGGTACCTTCGGCGTTGATGGGCTGGGCCACTCATCCCGAACTTGAAAGGTGGCAGGATTAAAGGTGACCTGCGTTGGCGGCACTGGCTGGGTTGCTGGCGGTGGTGGCGTTCGGAGCGGGATTTGAAACGGCGATGGTCTTGACGTGTCGACGGTGTCCCTGAAGAAGGGCTGCGTTGTGCTGTCCTGTTAGGCGTGGGTTTCTTCGCTCTGAAGACGTTACATGGCCCCACGTTGGGCGCCAAACTGTTACTGGGCACACGTAGCTGTTTGCGCGTGGTAACTGCTGGACTATCTTTGGAGAGAATAAAGGACCTCGCCGCACCTTCTTTTGTCGGGAACGTCTCTTAAATTAGATATTATATACCTTAAAACGAAGAAAGTTTATTTATCACCTTGTGGTTTAATGTATATATTTTCATTAGCTTTGCAATTATAAAGAAATTATACGCACATGGAGAAAGAAAGAGACAACTAGATATATATTGTAGCGACCACGAGCGTGATTGTGTGCGATCGGGCATACGTGTGTGTGAGCGGCTAATCGATTCGCCGACTAGCCGCAGGCACTTTTCTTCATGTGCGCCACATCTGTAAACGTGTGTGTCATACCTGCGTTCCAGGAAAGCAATTAAAGCGTTCAAAGAAAACGAGACTTCTCTGGAAGGCTGAAGAACGTTCCCGAAAGGAGGCAAGGGAGTATAAAAAGGAAAAGACGATCGCCGAAGTAGAGTAGAAATAAATTGACCGTTCCAGAAGAGAATCAAGAAACAAATAGACAGTGATAGAAGTGAAATAAATAGAACAGTGAATAGTAACAGTAGTGTAAATAAATAGAATAATTACCTAAGTGTAGTAATAATTTAATAATGTTTTTAAGTTCTATAATAATTAGTGTAAATAAATAGTTAATGTCGTTATCAGTCTTAGAAGAAATTTTGTTAAATTCACGAACATTACAGTACATAACAACACTGTTTTTGTATTCGCTTGACTTCGTGATTGCTTTATTACAGTCAGAGTTCGCATGTTTAAAACAAAATCAAAATGAAATGTCTTAAATTAAAGTGTGTTTAAAACAATAAACAAAACCCTGATTACAACCGACACATCATGCTAGGTACTGAAATTAGTCTACGTTCCTAGTTTTCCCAAATCTTAAATACTATAATGAGATGACCTAAGTATTTTCATGTTTTTGAATGTTATTTTTAAAGGATTTGAAAAGAAGTACAAATAGAACAAAAATTATTTTCTTTGGAGTTGGAGCATGAAAATTATGGTTTTAAACATACTAAGTCTATTTTATATGAAAAGCGGTAAATTACTAATTCATTTAACATTAGCGTGAACGTTCATTTAATTTTTATCAAGTACAAATTACCCCAAACTAAAGAGGAAAAATTGTAGCTGTTACATCCTCGCCGGGAAACGAACCCGGGACTTTGGATTGACACATCAACACTCTGCGATAGGTGACGATAAAAATTAAATGAATTTTTACATTAATATTAAATATAAATACCAACCACAATCAAATCTTTTTTTAATTAATTCATACTATTCTGATCATCATTGTCAGACATTATAATTTATGCTTCACTTTATTTACCGAGAATTACTATTACGTTTTTTAATGTTATTTTTATGAGATTATTGGGTAATATTTTCTAGTTATACTACTCACCTGCATAAGGTTAGTAAGATGTCCGTTAGTTTTGACCTTTGTCCTTGTCTGATACATGAGTCGATCACATGGTTTTTCGGGTTCAATTCGTTGAATATCACGAGGGATGTTAATGTCACCGTAGAGGGTTATTTCTGAACCCTGAAGACCAGAACAACCAAACTTTCTGTAGCTGTAGGTATCTGCAACAACGAAAGACTACATAGAAGACAATTCTTTTTATTATGATTTTCTATTAGGGTGTTAAATAGACATCGACTTACTTAAAAATAAAAATAAGTCACTTTAATCTAAAAGGGAAAAATGATATCCAATAATTTTGGATTAATTGGTCTTTCAAGAGATAGCTCCAAATAAAATGGAAGCTGTATTGACAAAGCAGTATTGTATGAAAATAAATAAAAGTGAAACAAATATATTGGTATACAAGGGAAGAAACATTAGGAAAGAGCGAATGTAAAGATAGGAGACGAAAGATTAGAAAAAGTAGCTGATTTTAGGTATCTAGGAAGTCAGATAAGTCAGGATGGAAGGAGTAGGGATATAAAGCAAGGGATAGCGCAGGGTCGAGTCGCCTTCAATAAAAAGAAGGGGCACTCCTCTGCTCGCGAACGATTGATTTAAAAATTCGCAAAAGAGTGTTAAAGGTGTATGTTTGGAGCGTGGCGCTGTACGGGTGCGAAACATGGACGGCTGGCGCGGTGGAAAAGAAGAGGTTAGAAATGAAGAGGTATTAGAAAGAATAAGAGAATAGAGGACGAGATAGGTTGGTAGGACACCTTCTCAGGCATATTAGAGGCAGATTATTATTATATTACTGTTTGCAAATAGTTTAGGATGTGGGATGTTCTTGTTTTAGCTCAGGATAGGAAGAAGTGGAGGTGCGTGTCCAACCAGTCTTAGGACTGATGATCTTATGATGATGGTTTTTAGAATTGGAAAAAACTAAGGTTAGGAGTAAGATGTCTAGAGTATGTATAATGATCTCAGAAACATAAATTTTTAACCCATTAGGTTTGTATATGTATTATCCTAACATTGATGTCTTTTGTACTCATTAATAGTGTTTGTTGACTTTAGGTATCCCATCAGTGAACTTCTGATAGTTCATTTTCCAAATATGGGATTGTTTGGTTTTAAACACAATTTAGATAAACGCTCTTAGTAAGGGAAATACATTTTCGACTTCGTATTTTCATTACAAATTGTTTTTAATCCATATATTGTTCTTGAACAATTTTATAAAAATATCTACTATATCAATGATTGATTTTTATTAACGATTCATTCACAATTTTATTCAGTTTTTGTTAGAGTCTCCATTGGACACATCCGTAAAGTTCGTTCGTTTGGGGATGTCCACAAACTACTTAACGTAAAATTCATCAATTTCTACCACTTCCTCCCATACGAAATAAGATCGTAACCCTTTGTATAATCCCTCTCTGCTTTGTTAAATTAGAATTCAAAAAATGTTTTTTCATTTCTTTCCGGTTGTAAAACGTAACGTATTACAAACTTTGATCTTCATCTACTTCCACATAACAGGAGCGTAATATCCTTTCTTTTGTGATCAATTTCTCAAATTTGGTATTAAAATTTCCAAATTCCAATATGTACGCAGGTACATATAAAGCCACTATATAATGTTTTATTAATGTAAAGGTGTCCTTACACCTAGGCAAATATAATAAGTTAAATAAAGGCCTTGTTGTATTTTATCGGTTCATCAACAAGTAAGTTTTGAGTAATGTATTCAATTTACTACGTGTAAGGTCAAATTCGGTAGCTACAGAGATGGAATCTACATAATTGTAAAAGCGAGTGGGATAATTTATTGTAAGTTAAAACACTTGTCAATAACCGGAACCTGCATGATTTATAGCCATCTCACAACGGCATTTCCTTTATTTCTCAATTTCCTATTGTATAAGAAAATTGCATAAGAGACCACGAGACCACATCAGTTTATTAGATAGATACTAATTAGAGATCCAAATTAAGAAAGCAAAGATAGTTGAAACTTGGTAACAGTAAAACAAATTTGCGAACAGTAATTTAATTTAGGTCTACCTCTACCCCTTCTAACTCCCGATTCTGTCCCTAATATGTCTCTGACTAGACTTTCATGCCTGAGAAGGTGACTTATTGACCTATCTCGCCTATTTCTTATTGACTTCCATAGAGTCCTCTGTTTTCCTGTTCTTTCTAATACCCCTTCGTTTCTAACCTTTTCTATCCACGGTATCCTCATCATCCGCCTATAATACCACATTTCGAACGCTTGTAACCTTTTCTTTTCCGCCGCACCCACTATCCATTTTTCGCACCCGTACAGCACCGTGCTCCAAACATACACTTTTATCAATCTTTTTCGAATTTCTAAATTAACCGTTTGCCAACATAGAAGTGACTTTTTTATTGAAGGCGACTCGACCCTGCGCTATCCTCTGCTTTATATCCCTACTGCTCCTTCCATCCTGACTTATCTGACTTCCTATATACCTAAAATCGGCCACTTCTTCTAATTTTTCGTCCCCTATCTTTATATTCGCTCTTTGCCTACTTTTTCTTCCCTTGCATACCAGTATTTTTGTTTTACTTTTATTTATTTTCATACAGTACTGTTTTATAAGTACCGCATCCATTTTATTTAAAGCTATCTCTAACTCCTGAACTGTCAATGCGAACTCTTTTGATTCATTTGGGTTCACCATTAAGTCATGACGAGTACATATAAATTAACATAATTTTCTGATACACATGCGCGGACGAACTTATGGAGCGATCCCTCTATGGAATGAATACATTCAAGATAAGAGAATTTTATGGAGCATAAGCGGGGAACTTCAAGGAACTTCAAAAGCAAAACCAACTTTAGATCCTACTTAGGACTGCAGCGGTTCACCAACTGGCCGCAAAAGCTTTAACCAATTTTGACATCTTGGATATCGAAATGCATTTTGTGTTTTATTCGTTAATTCAGTTTCAATAAAGAATGGCTTTATTCCTTATCCTTTTATTTAATTGTGAGAAAATGTCCGATTACTTGTTTATTACTTGCTTTATCTTGACTGACATAATTACTTAGGTTTTGATATTCAAGTGAGATATCTGTAGTAAAGCAGTTATCTATTAATTAATTCACTTACCATCTTCCAAATTTTGTAGACATAAAGGACACGCTTCGTTGGTGAACATACAGGAATAGCATCTTTCGTGACCACAGTTGTCAATCAGCCTTCTTTTTTTACCCTTGTCGAAGGGCATGTTACAGCCCCGACAAATTTCGGAATTGATTTCGGAATCTAGGAGGCTTCGTATCGCTGCCAGATCTGGAACAACAATAAAATGAACGCACTCAGTACACTGCACATCTTTTAATATTTTTCTCTTAATTACTTTAGATTCTTATATTGTTTAGTCTTAATTAATTTTAATAACACCACGAACACTTATATATGCTTACTGGTTGCAATAGGCTTGTCAAGTGAATAAAAATTATATTGGAGGTACGCCTATCTATACTGTATCATTTCATGGATCCACTACCGGCGCCAAGCTTCTTTGGAAAACTGACTAAACAGTCTAAATGATAACGAGATAAGCTGCGATAACGGACCGACAACGAGTTACTAAGAATCGATGTTCAATATATAAATAAACATATATTTTGTACGAAATCCAATAAGTAGCTGGTATGTGGTTATTAGGGTATATTTACAAAAACATCGGCATTTTTCGCATGAGTAAATGATAAGCTTGTTTTCTGTAGAAATACGCGAAGGATTATTGAATGCTATGAAGACAGCATTTACCTTTAATGTTTAATCAAACTTGAGTGTGGAACTACAACAAAATATCGAAAGATACCGATTTAGGCATTACAGTTTATTCAATGGACGACTGTCAAAAACTGATTTTTACTAAACTCTTACCGAAAGTAAGATATTTTTCCCTGATTTCAAGGGCGAAACCACAACATTTTTTCAGGGGTAAGAAATTGCATTTATTCCTTACTAGAAAAGGATTTTGTTATCCTTCGGGTGATTTTCATCTTCGCTTTCGGTTCCGGTGGCAATTTCCACGCGGAAGATATTAAAATACTTTCCTATTTTTTGCACTTTTGTAAATCGATGTATGAGTTAAATGTGAGTTTAAATAACATTATCATAAATTTAGTATGATTAGAAATATGAGACAGTACGAAAGAGATAATATGTAACGTATGTATGACGTTTAGTAGTTGGTCCACGTGCAATCTTTGAATAAGTTTGATCATATACAAAGGAAAGGACTTCAACGAAGCAAAAATTGGTCAGTTGGGACTTAAAGGATTCAAAAAAGTCCTATTATTGCGGAAACATTCTTTTTCTCGTCTACCAATGTTTTAAACAAAATGAGATGTCCACTTCAAACTTTAATTATGTAAAACCTAAGCTCAGAACATTGGTATGGAAGAGAAAAAAAAATAGGGAAGGAGTGAATATAAAAGTAGGTAATGGACAATTAGAAGAAGTGACTTATTTTAGGTAACTAGGGAGTCAGATGGTTCAGGATAGAAGAAGCAGTAGAGATATAAAACAGAAGATGGACCAATTAACAAAAAGAAGTCATTTCTTCGCGGTTAATTTAGAAATTCGGAAAAGATTGTTAAATGTAATGTCTGTATGTCAGAGAAGGTTAGAAATGTGGATGTCTCAGAGAGAGCAGAGCAGAAGACGTTATGGAAGTCAAGAACAAATAGGCGAGATAGGCAGGTAGGACACCTTCTCAGGTATCAAGGACTAGTTATAGAAATATTACAATCAAAAACAGGAGTGAAGAGAAGTGGAGCTAGACCTACATTAGATTAATGTTCACAAATAGTTAATGATACTTTTAGGAAAATGCGAAGATTACCTCAGGGTAGGAAAGAGTGAAGGTGCGTGTTCAACTAGTTTTAGGACTGACGAGTTTATGATCCTTGAAAAGATTCTTGTAGGCAAAATGTTGCATTTGCCTTTCATGTATTGTAAGTATAGCCAGCCGCAAAATAGTGTAGGTGGTTTCGGGCCTGAAATTTATTTTTGCAGGTCTGAATACGCCACTGACTATTGTAACGATGTGATTATGTTTTTCCCATTTGGACACCAGAGAATCATTCTTCGGAACGTGCAAGCTATTAAATTAATCTAACAAACGCTTAGCGTTTTTAGTATCGGACGCTAACATTGAATTGGCTTTGTTTCCAAACAAAGAAAATGTCCAACTACCTAGTTTCTTATCGAGGATTTACTGAATTAAAGTTTTAATGCGAAGCAATGAATAGAATGGCGTTATCATGTAACATTTAATCGATTACATAAGTGATATGGATTTACCTACTTCTGTTCTCTTATCAGAACAGCGGTTTTCGGTGTAAGTAACTTTAGCGTAACTATCAATTGTTATAGTCGATAAGGAAATTAAAAGGTTATGGTTTGCCTAGTGAGAGGAGAGGAAGAAGCGACAGCACGGTTTATTGTTTATTTACTATTCGAAATGTTTATTGATCTATGAGCTATACGCAAATCATATTTTCTAAATAATACACTCATCGACACAGCTGTAAATTTTCAACAGTACTGCCGATTTGAGATGAGAACTGAACATATGAGAGTTTATTATTATTAGGGCATCAAGCTTTTGAACGCCATCTGTTGTACAATGCTACATTTAGTGGAATTCAACATGTTCAACAGGGTCCATTAATATAGATGGATATCTACTTGTTGAACTGAATCTACGGCGTAGCTTACCATATGTGACAGGCATGTTACCAAAAACAAAGAAGTTCATGGTAGGTAGTCAGTATTTTGTCGAAACTGTCAGACGCGGTTTGTGATTTCGATATATTTGGATCTCATAAGCACTGGCTGCTGCCTTTGACACAGGGTTCTTTAAAAATCCTACAAATCGCGATCTGCGCCTGGCAGTTGCAACAGAGTACTGTTGTTGTTGAATATATTGAATTATTCTAAATGTAGCACGTACCACAGGTGGCGTTTACCGCGCCGTTTGTAGGATTTCATAAAACACTGTGTCAAGGCAGCAGCTAGAGTAGGTCTAAGTTGTGAACTTCATTCTTTAGCGCGAGTATCCATCACAATAAGTGTGGATCACCTATTTTCGACGTTTTCTCCACCAAATATCCTCATACTGTCCTCTCCTAGTCAATCCTTCACCCACTCCCAACCTTTTCATTTTTCCTTGCCGGGGATGTGTGTAACCTTCGGGTTGATCTCTCCACTCGAGGCAGGGGTTTCAGATGGCAAAAGCCGACACTGCCTTCCTTCTGGGGATGTCTTTAGAAGATTTCTCCTCCTCGAGAATAAACAAAAAAATTCCGCGTTTGGTAGTGTCGACTGAATACAAACCACCTACCACCATGAACTTCTTTGTTTAATTATAGACTCGTTGCAACAATTTCAACTCAACTTTCTCGTTGAAAATTTACCAACGAAGAATTAAAATTCCATTAGTTTTAGTGTTTAAACGACTTTTTCAACGGTACTTAATGTGGTTTGGAAAGTTAGTGAGGGTGGCGGTATTTAATGCAAAGTCTGCCAGAATGAAGACATGAGCCATTAATTGTAGTGATTTTACCTTTGAGGGGTGTTATTCTTTGTTTAATGATTTCGAGAGTTCCGCTTGTTTAAGATGGTTAGCTGGTGTTTTTTTCAGGTACTTAGACTTAAACTCAAGAATCCTGAATTTTCTTTTGTTCAATTGAGTATTAAAAAAGTTAAAATTGCAATGATAGACATTTTTTTTCTATAGTTAATATTTTTCATATTCACTAGCCTTTCTTGGTATTTAAATATGATTTATTTTTATGTTATAGAGAACGACTAATTCATTGCATAGAGTTAGTATATAAGTATAAGGGTTATACATTATGAGGAATGCTTTTTAACCGACGAGAAAAAAGAGGAGGTTCTCAAGTCGACGCGTATATTTTTTTTGTATGACCACGCATAACTTTACAGATTAGTCCGATTTTGATAATTCTTTTTTTATTGGAAAGGGTATACCCCGAAGTTGATTCCATATAAATTTGGAAAAAATCTAACCCTAAGGGTAGGAAAACAGGGGATGATCGTTGTTCACTCACTGATTGTAATGTATGACCACCCANATTTCGTAATTTTTGATAATGGGCCGGTGCTACTTTAGTATATGCGGACTACCTCTGACGTATGATCTATCGAACTGACTCCTTAAGATGACCGAAGTAACTGTTGTTGTGATCATGTTCTTTCCCTTTCGTTTGCAAAAATTCGTACCTCAAAAAAAGGCAAGAACAGCAAACCGCATACTACAAAGTAGGACCCATGACTGTTTAAGCTAGTTAGTCATATTTACGAGACGGGGAAAGTCCCGGATATAATAACCACACCAAATAGAGAGGCGGGGATAAGTCGAGACATTCAGAATAATTACCTTAACTTCCTATCAAAAATCTTAACTAGAATTGTACAGAAAAGGATGAAAAAAAGGGCGGGAGAACTGCTAAGGATAGATCAATTTTGGTTTAGAAGAAATAGAGGAACGCGGGAGGGCATTCTAGCTTTACGGGTAACAACAGAGAAAACGATAGAAAAAGGAAAGAGTGCGTACATAGGATTTGTAGATTTAGAAAAAGCTTTTGACAATGTTAAATGGGAGACAATACTACATATACTTAAAAATTGTAGGAATGAGTTACAGAGATAAAAGAGTGATATTTAGTTTGCATAAAGAGCAACAGGCAGTTATAGAGTTGGACCAGCAACTTAGAGAAGTAAATATTAGGAAGGGAGTTAGATAAAGATGCACACTGACATTCCTACTTCTTAATCTACACATCGAAGACGCAATCAACATCATTACAGTACAACTATAGAGGGGCAAAAAATTAGTATGCTTAGATTTGCAGATGGCATAGCAGTATTAGCATCTAGCACAGAAGAGTTAGAGATATCTTGAAATAAAATGGATACGGTACCTATTGACAAAACATTATTGTATGAAAATATATAAAAGTAAAACAAAAATACTGGTATGCAAGGGAAGAAAAGTAGGGAAAGAGCGAATATAAAGATAGGAGACGAAAGATTAGAAGAAGTGACTTATTTCAGGTATCTAGGAAGTCAGATAAGTCAGGGCGGAAGGGGCAGTAGGGATATGAAGCAGAGGATAGTCGCCTTCAATAAAAAGAAGTCATTTCTATGTTTGCAAACGGCTAATTTAGAAATTCTAAAAATATTGTTAAAGGTGTATGTTTGGCTTAAAATACAAATAGTTAAAAGTATGTAGGATGTTCTAGTTCAGATTAGCTCAGGATAGGAAGGAGTGGAGGTGTGTGTCCAACTAGTCTTAGGATTGACGACCTTATGATAATGATGCTTTGGTAAAAGTCTACATGATGGCCCCCACCCCCTTCGGGGGTGGGGATGGGGGGGATCGAAGAAGGGGGTCTCCCCATCACTGTACCATAAAAAGTTCGTGGCAGTCTCACCCCCATAATAAGTTATAGGGGTTCAAAATTCATAAATATGACAATTTTTATACATTTCCTGGCATGTAANCAATTCCAAATCCGGAAGCCATAGTTGAACCAGAATTAGAAATTTTAACTATAAACATAACAGAGGGTGACTGGATTTTATCGGCTCAATCCCAAGATAGTAGAGTAAAATATCTCAAAGACGTACTTAGTCGAACCCCTTTAGACGAAGAAGAAAGACGAATCCACAGAGAGTATCTTTTAGAACAAAATAAAGTTTACAAAAAGACGGAATCAGGAAATTGTTGGGTGGTACCAAAGTTTGGGCGACGACAAGTAGTAAGTTATTTTCACGACAGCATAGGCCATTTCGAGTTAGACAAAACTGTAGATGCTGTAAAACGTAATTACTGGTTTCCCAAAATGCGTAAATAACATATATAAAGAATTATATAAGTAGTTGTTTGCCTTGCCAATATAACAAAGATGTTTATTCGAAACAGCCGGGGTATTTACACCCCATCACTAATGTTTTAGAACCTATGCATACTATACATGTGGACCATTTAGGCCCTTTTGTCCCTAGTAAAGCGAAAGCCATCAAGCTTGTACATGTAGCCGCGGCAACACCTCGAGCGAACGGACAGGTTGAAAGATATAATAGACTTATATTAAACAGTCTTCGAACAATGGTAAACGACGAAAATAGATGGGATGAAATCATTCATAAAATTCGATGGGGAATAAATTGTACCATTAACAAAAGCACAAACAAAAGTCCCTTTGAACTATTCTTTGGATTTAGACCTCGTGGTATAGATGACTCATTTTTACGCGCGAACACGGAAAGTAATCTTGCCGCTGAAGGTAACCAGATCTCTGAAAATCGTCATGAAACAAGAAAAGAAGTAGGTAGGGTTATCAAGGAACAACAAAAATTGCAGAAACTTTATTATGACAGAAAAAGAGTTAGGCCGCGACAATATAAAATTGGTGAACAAGTTCTATTAAAAACACAACTAAACGCTAATGACGGAAAAAGCAGGAAATTAATGCCTAAATATAGTGGACCGTATATCATAACCAAAGTATTAGGTCAGGATCGTTATGTTGTAACCGATATACCAGGAACACAACGATCACAGAAACGATATGAGAACATTTGCGCAGTAGATAGATTAAAACCTTATTCAATTAGACTCGACAGTGACGATAGTATTGAACTCAGCAGTTCGGAACCAGAATGAACCAAATTTCTGAATATATCACCTGGATAAACACTTCGACGTAAAAATTGTTTGTTAACGTATGCACATACACGAGGGATGCGAAGTTCGAACGTGCCTGTGAAGAAAAAAAAAAAAAGAGAAAAACGTAACAATGAACAAATGTATGTACGAATCTATTTGAGTGTGATAGAGTGCGAAAGATAAGTAGGTACCTACACGATTGAGTAAATGTGAGTGATAAGGTTTGAATAATTGAAGTTAATGACAACCCTAGATGCGGGTTAGAATCACATCCATGGTGGGCATATCCACAGGTAGAATTCGCATCAACAATAGCAGTTATTGTAGTCAATTCGGATAATAAAATTGTCCCTAGATGCGGGACTGAACTAAANGAGAATAAACAAAAAAATTCCGCGTTTGGTAGTGTCGACTGAATACAAACCACCTACCACCATGAACTTCTTTGTTTAATTATAGACTCGTTGCAACAATTTCAACTCAACTTTCTCGTTGAAAATTTACCAACGAAGAATTAAAATTCCATTAGTTTTAGTGTTTAAACGACTTTTTCAACGGTACTTAATGTGGTTTGGAAAGTTAGTGAGGGTGGCGGTATTTAATGCAAAGTCTGCCAGAATGAAGACATGAGCCATTAATTGTAGTGATTTTACCTTTGAGGGGTGTTATTCTTTGTTTAATGATTTCGAGAGTTCCGCTTGTTTAAGATGGTTAGCTGGTGTTTTTTTCAGGTACTTAGACTTAAACTCAAGAATCCTGAATTTTCTTTTGTTCAATTGAGTATTAAAAAAGTTAAAATTGCAATGATAGACATTTTTTTTCTATAGTTAATATTTTTCATATTCACTAGCCTTTCTTGGTATTTAAATATGATTTATTTTTATGTTATAGAGAACGACTAATTCATTGCATAGAGTTAGTATATAAGTATAAGGGTTATACATTATGAGGAATGCTTTTTAACCGACGAGAAAAAAGAGGAGGTTCTCAAGTCGACGCGTATATTTTTTTTGTATGACCACGCATAACTTTACAGATTAGTCCGATTTTGATAATTCTTTTTTTATTGGAAAGGGTATACCCCGAAGTTGATTCCATATAAATTTGGAAAAAAATCTAACCCTAAGGGTAGGAAAACAGGGGATGATCGTTGTTCACTCACTGATTGTAATGTATGACCACCGATAACTTTTGACAGAATAGTCCGATTTTAACAATTCTTCTTTTTTTTGGAAAGGGTATACCCTGAAGTTGGTCCCATATAAATTTGGAAAAAAATCTAACCCTAGGAGTAGGAAAACAGGGGATGATTTATAGTAGGAAAATAATAGTAGTAGTAATTTGTTTATTGATTGTTTAGTGCCGACTCAAAATGACTTAGGTATACTTACATTAGTTGAAGAAAATAGTTATTAAGGTTAATAAAATAATGGTTTATTATTAATAATTCGTTCCAAACAAAAACAACCCAAAATCAAAAGAAGTCCTGAAACAATGACCGCAGAAGTCTTGTATATTGCGATGATCTAACAATTACATGAACTATATTAATATACGCCTAATGCAATAAAGCATTTGTCTGGTTTCCTTGTAAACAGTGATTGCATTGCATTATGTGTAGAATACATAAAACCAGACTCATTAATTAATCAGTTTTTTGCAACAAAATCATACACCGTAATAGAATGTTAAGTTTGCGGTAAATAAATAAATAATAATCTATTCGAACGTGTTTAATTTTCGTGACTGATAAACTAATGAATTGCAACTTCGTGTGTAAAAAACGCCTTCGTGTAAAAGTACTTGCATTTTTGTCTCATGGTGCAATCTTTTGAACAGTGAATCACGATTTTGCGAAAATAAAATACAAGTGACATGACGCTTAAATTAACAAAACAGAACGGTAAGGGACAATGTTTCTGCTTATTTTGTTGTCTACATACAAATCTGCATATGCAACAGAAGATTTGTACAACAGCATAACCTCAGGAATATTGAATGTGCTC